AATGCGATCTGAGTCAATTAGGAAGGGAAAAATTAAACGTGATCACTGTCACCGATTTGCGCTGCCTAAAATACTCGCCAAACGGAGTAATTTATTATAAAATGAACTATGAACATGAGTATAAGGTTTTGCCTCAGAGTGTTAAGCTACCCCCTTATTAAAAAAAACAACAACGCTTAAACCGTTATTTTCTAAAAGACTTCCAATTAAACATATCAAATATCAGCATTTACAGGACTTAAAAACTGTAATCAAATATGAAGAAACTCATAAATTCTATGATAGCTTACCAACGGAAAAGAGAACGAAAGAAACCACAAAAAACGTTTAATATTATAATTAATTCAGTTTAGTTTTTTTTGAGCTTTTAGTGTTCTTTTTTTGACAAAAACTAACAACCAATAATATGGTTCGTTCTATTTAATATTGGCAAAGCAACGTACCTGTCTATAATAGTTTATTTAGTTGTGCTTAAATATTTTGTAGTTACGAAGTTGTACTTTTCATTTTATAGACTTGAGTTGTTGAATAAAAGCAATATGTTGATTTAAATTGACTTATTTATTAACCTGTTCCTACTAAATTCCAGTTCAGTTTCTTTCACCCAAAAAATTATAGCTTAAGTTTAAAATGAAATCCCCGTGATGTGATCATAGAAAGATGTATCCCACTTATCCCTAGGATTTCACAAATGTTAAAAAAGCGTAACCAACATAATGTCTTGGTACAAAAAGACGTAATCCACAACGTCAAAATTTTATAACGTCGTATCCCACATCATAGATTCAAAATGCTTCTAAACCAAAATGACTTAAAAGACCGTAAAACCTTGAACCTTTAAACGTATAAACATGACTTCTACTAGCATACATAAAAAATATAGTATTTGTGATTATCGTTATTTTATTCTCCATAGAAAGACGTCGATAAAGACCCCAAGAAAGCTGTAATTAGAGTACCAAGGGAAATAAGTATGTATACTTTATCTGAAGTCACTTGAAACACTGTGAAATACCGGGTGCGTTTTATATATCTATATTTAACACGCTCTGTTGCTCGAAAAATCGCCAAATTTCGCAGCAAATATCCCCCGTATAAGAGATCAAAGGCAGTTTCACCGGTCCAAGTGGACTAAAGCACGCCTATGCGTGGACATAGCCAATGAGAAAGCGTGTATTTCAGAGCTCGGAACAAGTGCAGGTGGCTACTGAAAATTGAAACAGTTTAGCCAGTGCCGTGTAGCGGTGAATAAACGTGTTTTCTTTAGTCTGTCCGTGTTTTTTCATAGATTTTATTAGTTTGTGTGTTTTTGACTTTTGAATACTCAGTTTACTAGTTGATTTAATTGTTGTGTTGATTGTTCTTGTGTGTCCTAAATATGGCTCTTTGGAGACCTTGGGAAAATGCTCCAAGCCACGAGGAGATGGTTGATGAACCTGTGCAGGCAGAATTCTTTCATAAAGATTTAGAGGAACAGACCCAAAGAGTAATCCTAAATATGTATGATTGTCTGAAAAACGAAAATCCAGATTCCTCGCAAAATCAAATTTTAAACAGAATTTGTATCCTGACAAAAATCAGTCGGTCTACCATTTATCGGGTTATAAAAAGGGGAGATGTAGTCAACCATTCCTTCCACAGAAAGCGCATAGGGCAAAAATTAAAAAGAATAGACGTGGGTTTTTAGGAAGATATTCGTCGTATAATATACGGATTTTATAAAGAAAATTTGGTGCCCACGTTGGAAATGATACGGGATAAATTAAAAGATTATCCTGAAGATTTTAATAATTACAAATGCTTAGACTCACTGCACTGTATTGTAAAACTGTGTGGTTTTCAATACAAAAAATTAGATAAAAGAATGGTGATTATGGAGTCGTCTCGAATCGTTGAATTGCGCCAAGAATTTTTGCACAAAGTTAAAATCTATAGAGAGCAGAAAAGAAATCTGATTTACCTGGATGAAACGTGGTATGATACCCATGATTTTGTGCAGTACGGCTGGGTTGACGACAGCAACAAGTGCATTTTAAATGCACCATGCAACCGTGGAAAACGAATCATTATTCTCCATGCTGGCAGTGAAAATGGATTTATACCTAATGTCTTGCTGTTATCTGCCAAAAATATCAAAGAATCATGTACCGACTATCATGAGGACATGACCTCCGACTTATTTGAAAAGTGGATAGAGCAGCAGTTAATACCAAACATTTCCCCAAATTCAGTGATTATTATGGACAATGCGCCATACCATTCCCGACAGAAAAACAAAATTCCGAATACAGGCACAAAAAAACAAGACATTATTGATTTTATGAAGGATAAGGGAATGGAAATACCACAAAAATCAACCAAAGCCATATTATTGGATCTTATTAAAAGACAAAAATCTGAAAAAGAGTATGTTGTTGACAATCTGCTTCAGCAAAATGGCCATGAAGTATTACGTCTACCTCCCTATTACTGCATTTTTAACCCGATTGAGTTGGTCTGGGCTGCTTTAAAAAAAAGTAAGAAAACATAATCAGACCACTCAATTAAGTGAATCGCTATTGGCCACAATAAGAGATGCAGTATCTCATATTGCTGCCACAGACCTATGGAAGCAGTGTTCTAGGCATATTATTGAAAAAGAAAATTAATATTGTGTTTTGCCTCCTGTAAATCCCGTTGTAATTCCTCTACAAGATGACTCTAGCGACAGCTCCGAAGGCGAGGATGATATATAAATACCTATAATGTAAGTCTTTATAAATACCTTTTTATATACCTACCTGCTATGTAAATATTTGCCTATGTCAAACGTTGGAATTCTGTAATTTTTCCATTTCTTAACTTTCAGTCAACATAAATTAAACTCCCAATATAAGTATTTTTTATCCCAAATCAAAAAAATAAGAAGATAGTAAAATCCATTTATTCTGATATAAAAACATTATTATTATCGTTCTAAATAAATGCCGCACGCCTACGATACGTCATGAAATTACAAAGGACGCGCCGACCAAAGGTTTTTATGCTATTTCAAGTGACTTCAGATACTCCATACATTACTGTGTATTGCTTGTTCGGGGCATATTTTACATTTTACTGTGCTGATCTTATCGTCTCGTTTGAGTTGGACGTAACGTACGGCATCATCACCGTACAGACGTGTAAGAAGTAATACAATATTATACAAATTCATTCAGAAGTTATGACACATGAGCTTAGTTTTGAATGACTTCTAAAAAGGAAGATTATGTAAGTGTATTACTTATTATTTCGTTTTATGTCTATCTTTATATCATATGAACTGTACTTACATAGAAGCTTTGATGTTTCTCAGTTCAGCAGATCAGAAATCAGAGCTGAAAAAAATATCAACCATCAATGCGGCAATTTTTGGAAAATTTGTGTTTTGTGCTTTTACGAATACAACGTCCGTGATTTTTTTTTCAGTGAAACGATAGCTGTTTTGTATGACATCACATCATGTCCGATAGTGCTTTTCTCCTTTCATATTAAAAATTAAAATATTTTTTATTTAAATTGGACTTATATATTGCATTGCAAAATTGAAATAGATTTATTTTGTTATCTCAAGCCAAATACTACAAGAAATACTCATTTATTTTATGAAATTAGACATGAGTCAAGCAGACTATTCCACTTGCTCTTAGGCTATACAGAGCAGTGGAACGAAAAGATGATATATAATAAAAAGCTGTTGAAAAAGAAGGGATTCTGCGATCGATCACAACGCAGTTAACTGTGTCTTACACATTACGTCGATCAGCTCACTCGATCGATTAATGCATAATGCATATCGATACGGTGGTTTACTTATGATGTCTCATTTTCAACGTACATGTGATACCATTTCAACTATTTCTCTGCTCTTAATCATCAATTACTCCTTAAGAGGGAATAGAGTAAGCTTTTATTATAGAACCGGATTGCCGATTGAACAATGTCTTTCTATAGATCATTTAGAGCAGGGTTTCCCAACCTTTTTTTTTGTTAAGGCCTATAAATTATATTTTCATGCCTCCCTTTACTTTTTCAATAAATACAAAAAAACGCACATTATATAGGTACAAAGACTTTAATTTTAATCCTAATAAACAAACTTTAAAAGTTTAAATAAACTAATAAATGTTTTTTATCGAGAAACTTGAATAAGAGTAGGTATTAATGAGACACTTGAGATTCCATGTTCTGTACCAGTTGGTTGATTCTAGGTTCTGTTTCTGCCAGAGCTATCATCAGGTCGCTATCGACATCAAGACGATTTCGCTGTTTAGTATTAATTAAAACTAGAGCAGAAAAGCCTGTCTCACATAAGTAAGTTGAAGAAAAAGGAACTAGTATTCGTAAAACAAGAGGCAAGTGTCGAATTAACAGGCAATCTTTTGATCCAAAATCTCTCCAAGGTTAAAAGATAAAAGTCATCTTTCATGGACGAATCAGTCTTCATTCTAGTAATTCTTCCTGAACTTCTTGTAATTGTGACACATCGACAACAAATGGATTTCTTGTCATGTACCATATTGGTAACATTTTCAAAAGACACTTTTTATTTCAAAGTTGATATTTTGATATAAATCCCTGAATATAATCATAATTGCTTATTATAGTGTTGTATCTGCCCTCAAGTTTCAAGTTCAGCTCATTCAAGGAATCAAAAATGTCAGTTAAATAAGCCAACCTCCATTGAAATGTGTCATCTTTGAACATTGTCAAGAAACTCAAGGAAAAGAATTACCTCTTCTTTCAATTCATAAAGGCGAGCCAACATATTGCCTTTGGACAGCCAGTACTTCTGTATGGAACAGAAGAACTTTGTGATCAGAATCGAGATCCTCGCAAAGTAAAGTAAATAACCGACTGTTGAAAGCGCTGCTCTTGATGTAGTTTACAATCCTTATAGCCGAGTCCAAAGTCTGGCATAATTTCTGTGGCAATGTTTTGCAAGCCAAAGCTTGCCGATGAATAACACAATGTGTACTAACCATTGCGGGATTTTCTTCGTTGAGCTTTTTAGCTAAGCTCGATCGTACACCTATCATTGCAGGTGCGCCATCTGTGCAAAGTCCAATGAGTTTCTTCCAATCCAAATCATTCTTTTCAACAAAATTTGATATTGAATTAGATATATCTTCAGACGTAGTACCTGCTGTGAAAGATTGGGAGTACAAAATCTCTTTTTGAATGATATCTCCGCCGATGTAACGAACATAAACTATTAACTGTGCACAATTAACGATATCGGTGGATTCATCGCAACTAATGGCAAAAAATGGCGAGAATTTTACTTTCTTAATTATTTGTGACTTTATGTCTGCTGCAATGTCATCGATTCTGACTGTGTGATTCAAAAGATAAATAGACTTCATTTTTTGCTCTGCATCTTGCACCTATAACAATAAAAGAAGTAATAGATAAATAAGCAAAATACCTACATGTAATTACTAATTATATGCCCATTATTTTATCTTAGTAACGTAATGTATTCAACAGTATACTGGCCATCAGGAGATTTATATTTTTGTAGGCAGGTTGACGTTATAATAGTAATTTTAAATACATTTGGAATCAATATTAGGTACTTAAAGTTCGTCGTTTCATAATTATTTCGCCACGTTGGATTGATTGTGAAGTGGTAAAAAAATCCCAATGGCCGATCTATGAACGCGTCTCCACTATATCAACCATTCAGTAAATTAAATAAAAATGGTAACTGAAGTTTGTAAATAAACATACTTACCTTTCAACAGTGAGACACAATAATCTGACACAAACAGATTTCTCAACAAAACATGTACATCAAAACGTAAAATTTTTCGCAATGAATGTCGGAAATGCTCTTCCGCGTCTGGTAGTACACAATTGTTGTTGTGTACTTGTCGTAACTTGTATAAACTGCGATTGATGACGCCGGGTTTTGAAACAGCGGTTGACAGAATAAGTGAATATGATATTTAATTTCTAATACTATGCGTGCAAATTAAACATTACATTGTAATGTTATTTGTTAATGTTGTTTGTTTATTTTTTTATTTTTTCTTGACTTCTCTCTATGCCCCCCTTGAGAGGCGCGCCCCCCTGGTTGGGAACTACTAACTTAGAGTAAGCATCGACCGAAAGTTAATAATTATCACAATTATTTGATTAAGAAAAGACAATATATATCTAAATGTACAGGGTGTCCTAAAAGTTGGGAGTTTCTTTTTAGAAGCAACTACGTCTGTAATAGCAAGGCTAACGTGTGCCGAAAAAGTAAAAAAAATAGATGAAAAGGTTAACACCGTACATCGAAAGGAAACTTGAAGAACTGATTTTTAATTTGTAAGTATTGTCCAAAGTTGTCTGCGATAGATTCAAAGACACATGGATGTGCTCGACGTAGTCAAGCTTCAGTGTAGGCTTTTGAAATGGACTGCCTTCCCCGAATGAATGCAGCAAATTGTTAAATTCGCCTACATAGTTTGTCAACCGTGACGACCTCAGTTTTAAACACTAAACACTTTGTATCGGCCCAAATGATAAAAAAATCACGCAGGATCCTGAAAAACGATCTGCACGCACTCGCGAAGCCCTGGTAGCATTTCGAAAACACTCACCATAAATTAAAATTATATGAACAACTCCGATATTGCTGTGAGTGTGCCATTTTTGTTCGTTTTTTTAGAACGGGTGTGTAAAGGTTCTGTTTATCAAGGCGACTAGCTTCTGGATTGAATACGTATCGTACTTATTCACGTTTAATCTGATCTAGTTGCAGGCACGGACTAAGTTTTGCTTAGGTTTGATTTATTTTGCAGAGCCTAACATCTCGGCAATCTTAAGACTTTGATGTGTAATATGTTAGTAGAAAGAACTTTATTTTCCAAGATCTCTCTGCTATGTAAAGAAGAGTCGCAACTTTGAAAACACCCTAGATATCCCCATTATTTGTATCAATGTAACCTATTTTCTATTTTTCGCGTAAGATAAAATTGCACACAGCGCCATTTTGCGGAATGTTCAACCTTTTCGTACAGATCAAAGTGATATGTGATGTTTGTTATGTTTATATTAATGTAATACTGTAGTTTATAGTAGTTTATAGGAGAATGATCAGCCATTCTATTCTATTATTAATAAGCAGTAAAAACTACAAAAGTGGATTAACAAACTTAGTCATCTCATGAAGATAGCATTCTTACTTCTCAAGATTGGTTAATAATTTCAAATTCATTCACGTTATAGCACTCGCGAATTTTTCGAGCCGTTTTATATTTAAAGCATGCTTTCTGAAATTAATTGTAATTAATGAAAATGAAAAGTAACGACTTGAAGAGTAATACATTTACCGATCATTCTGGCGTTGGTTCTAACCAAGAAGGCATTCTTCGTAGACTGTTAGTTGAACTATGATAGAAAATAATCCGTAAAGAACGGTAGCTCTCTATAGATCCAGCCTCCTGAAGGTCAAATAAAAATACTGGATTATTATAAAGATGAACTAAACATGATGCTTGTCTGTCCGACCAAAAGACAGTCAACCATGGATAGATGTGTCGTGCTTCTTGGCTATTCATCATCATGGTCTATGTTTGGTCTCTCATCTCTAGGACAACGATCGAAAGCATACATAGACTGTACCTTTATTTAGGAGATACGGTCTATCGAATTAAGACAGCGCAGAGAACCATCTATCACCAGAGTCAACCTGGGGAGAGCACATTGCTGCTATTTGTTGGAATTGTGAAGAACTGAGAAATTATTGAAAGCTCTTGGATTCCTAAAATTACTTTATACAAGATCATAGAAACCGCAGTCTATAAAAATTGAAATGATTCTCACCTAGAATCACCTAAGGTTACCTTGGAGTGCCTCGATTTTCCTTGTATTTCACTGGATCTGCTTATATTGCGTTTCATATCCTAGTGAGATGGAAAATATCTTTGAGCTGACTCTGGACCAAAGATGCGCTCGCATCGTCATAGCTGTCCGAACACTAAGATAGAAAATTTTCTTGTAAACCAATAAGGCTTGTCAATTACGAATAACCAAGAGCAAAGGATTCATATACAAAGAGCAGCTGTGCATATTTTTCTATTCTCTATTTTATTCACTATTGAAAGATCAAAATATACATTTAATTAAAGCGATTAAGCTCAACAACAGCGAATCTATAACAATACACATAGAGTATAAGACATCTAATGACGTGAGATTATTTCGATGTGCCACACAGAGACCAAACTCACCAGTGGTCTTTATGATATTATTATACAGTTCTCATTGATCGTTCCAAAGTACTATCAACCACCTGGAGATACCGAATGACTTGCTAGTGCCTCGTATCGTGAACCTTTTATTTAAATGTAATGACTAGGGGGGCAGAATTCGACAGCACAGTTCAGGCTTACGACTTTTCTTTTCGTGTTTCTAAGATGAATTTTTAAAAATAAAGCGTGTTACGTTTTGGCAGCAAGATAGAAAAGGGTGTAACACGCTTTTATTTGAAAATTTCAGGTTACGGACCCCATTATGCCTCCAATATTTCTAATGAAAAAATGTTTTAAAATCATTAGATGAATTTATTAACAACTAAGTGAAAGCTTGTTTTCTAAGATGTATTTTATTCTTTTATCTATTACACTATTTTTTCCATAAAAAATTAATTTCCACTACGTAAAGTTCTTCAGAAATGCACGAAAACGCTAGTTGCCTGTTTTTTATGAGCAAAATGACATCCCTTTTAATACTCCCCGTAGCCCGCCACTTCCACACCAATTCTGAAGAGCCGTGAAAATAAAAAAAATGTTACGTTGTCCAATTGGCAATTGAAGGCTCAAACATTTTTTCTTGCTATGTAGGCAATACATGATTTCGAAAACATCATAATAGTGAAAGTCGTGCGCTCCACCACCATGATCTTTTTGATCTTTTACGGCCTACAACACTACATCTCAAACGCGTCGACTGTTTTTTTCATGGATACCACGGTACCACTCCATACAGAAGAACAAAGCAGATGAATCATATTTTTTAGCGGATTCTAGTCAAACTACATTTATGTGTAAATTTATGTCTATTTTATGACGTTCCGACCATGACTGTGGCGTTTCTCAAGTACAATTGACACTAGAACGCTTAGCCACGTATTTTGAAGATTTTGTCGATTTTGCATTTGGGCTGGATCCAGCTCTGTCTTTAATTGACTGTACTATCGAACTCATTTTCCTTTACGACCGGATCTGGCTGGCGCGTTTGGAATTCTTTCCCTATGAGAGGCACCATCAGGATGATGCCAATGCTCACGTTTATTAATTAATTCGTGTATGGGACATGAATATTTATAAAACATTTTCACGGAGGCACCTAGGAGGTCTTCCAAGTGACATGCGTATAATTTGAACACTCACTTTCGTTTTGTGGACATTTTTATCGTTTCGCCAACGTATTCTTTCAGGCGGCCTAAAATTCTTGTTTACTTAGAACTATTAATTTTTATATCACAATAAATTTATAATGTATAATATACCTACAAAACTATAGAACACCTATTCAAAAAGTTCTCTGCCCCTCACTTTAACAGGTCAAGTTACTACATTTTAGCGTAAAAGTGGAAATTTTTTAAATAGAGTGGGGGGCTACGTGGCACCTCATTTTGATACTCTAGATTACATATTTACTATCTTACCTGAAAGAGGAGTGGAGGGCTGCCAAAGTAAGCTTTAGTCCATCAAATAGCTTATAAGTAATCACCAAAATGCTGTCAGGCTACGAACTTGAACCGATCAAAAAAGGTAGGAGTGGATCTTTCTAAAAGCACTGAATGAGCGATGGTTAGATATCGTTCCTCGTAACCTAAGCCAAAAAGATTCTGTGGATCGACCCAAAAACAACATCAGTTTAGGCTGAGACCTAAAAAAGGGTTGTGCGTAAGTAGATGGAAATCCATTGACCGACACGTACCAAAAATTTTGCCAAGCTGATTTTTCATCCTCATGCCGTACGACGAAGTCGAAAATCAGTTCCAGGGTGGTTGTAACTCGTTCTGAAGTGCCGATAGAGTCTATATAGGATGGGGCAAGTGGTGTAATATTCTTCCCATAATGTCCCAGATGTGGTCAGAATGATCTGGCGATCTAGGGGCTAAGGCAGCAAATCGACTTCAAAATT